CTATCAAATATAAATAAGTGTTAATAATATTAAAAATATATAATAAAATTTAATAAATTTAAATTAAATATGATCAAATTAATTTAGAATAATTTAATTTAATTCACTTTAGTTCAAATTATTTTAGAATGATAAGTTCAATGTATCATATAAGATAAATAAAAAAATTATAGTAATTGCTAGTTTATTATATAAATTTAATTAAAATTAATTAAAATAAATAAATCTATCAAATATAAATAAGTGTTAATAATATTAAAAAATATATAATATTTTATAAATTTAAATAAAACTTAATTTAAATAATTTAGATTATTTTAAAATAATTCAAAATGTTTTGAATTTATTAGAATGATATATTAAATATATCATGTAAGATAAATAGAAAAATTATAGTAATTGATAATATATTATATTATATCAATTCAATTAATTGAATATAAATAAGTGTTAATAATATTAAAAACATATAATAATATTTTATAAATTTAAATTAAAAAGTGATCAAATTAATTTAGAATAATTTAATTTAATTCATAATAGTTCAAATTTATTAGAATAATACTGTATATTAAATATATCATATAAGATAAATAGAAAAATTATAGTGATTAATAGTGTATTATATTATATTAATTCAAATTAATTAAAATTCAAAATGATACAAGATATGCAACGACATCGCAAGCCCCGAATATGCTACGAATGTCGAAGACTGGGGCATAATGCTCGTTCATGCCCACACCAAACCCAGAGAAAAGAATCGAATAACGATGAATACGAAATAGGGTATGTGGAATTAAGAAAAACCTTGATGAAAAAGGTGTCGAAAAAAGGAATCATGAAGGTTTGAAACATAATAGAGCAACCAAAGTGGAACAAAAAGTTGATAGAGGAAATAAGGAAAATGATGATCAAGGAGTAAGTGAATTTGTAGATGTTAGGAGCATTAAAATAATTAAGGATGATGATGAAGGAAAGAAAAATGAGATTATTAATAAGTTGAAAAAGAAATCAAATCAAACAAAGAATAAAAAGTCAAAAAACAAACCTGAAGACTTTGATGAAAAAAAAGCATCTGAACATCGTCAAAAATCAGCAGAGACAAGTCATGCTGATGGAATATATAAGGGTGGATATCATGATGAAAAAGGATTTGGAGTCGAAAAGAATAATAAGACACTTAGTAAGTATCAGAAATCAGCCGATATAGGGAACATTGCTGCAATAAAAAGCACTAGTCAAAGTAAACCAGAAATAAAGAATACCAAAATTATAAATAGTAAATACGATATAACCTACGATATAATAAATGCATATTTTGATGATGAAAATTAGAGATGTGAAGTGAATCAAGAATGCACTATTGATATTTCGACGAATGATGTTGCTTGTAGATGTGGTGTTAAAAGGAAGGAACAAACTATTGTGAAGGCGAATCAGAAAATGGGTTATGCTAGTGAAGCATATAACTCTGAATACTGTTGGCAAAATAGAGTTGAACTGGAAGCGAATGAAAATAAGGCATTTGGTAATTATCAAATATCTGATGATGTGAATAATCCTAATGAAACGCACGATGATGGAATTAGCCTATTTGATCCCGGAGAATTGATTTTGTTCGTAGAATGAACAAATTAGGTGGAGGAAAATGTCACGATTGTAAATCGATCGTTGCTAGATTCTAACCGAATTGAGCGATCGATCGCATATTTGTTTGTAAATGTATATGCGGCGTATAGTAGAATTAGTAGATTTAGTAGATTTTCAATATTTGGGATATTTGGAATATTGGGAATATTTGGGATATTCGGGACATTTAGCACATTTAGCATATATAGTATATATGGTATATTTAGTATATTTAGCATATAGTTGAATAGTATATAAAGGTAGCATTTACTAGAATGTAAAGTTAGATTAGGATATCTCATATTATTAATAAACAGATAATCGGTCAAATCCACACCTCTTTCGAGGGTAGTACATCTAAGAGTTATTACAATACAATATTTTATAAATTTAAATAAAACTTTAATCAAAATAATTTAGATTATTTTAAAATAATTTGAAATGTTTTAAATTATTAGAATGATATATTAAATATATTATGTAAGATAAATAGAGTAGTGATTGATAGTATATTATATTAAATCAATTAAAATTAATTGAAGTAATAAATCTATTATATATAAATAAGTGTTAATAGTACAGTCATCCCTCTATATAGTCACCACCTATATAGTCACAAACTCTACACAATCACATAATTTTAAATTTCTATTTTTTTACTATTAAAAATATATCTATATAGTTACAATTATACTATAATCACTATTATATTTTTTTAAATTTGTTGGACAATTTTAATAATAAAATTACCTCTTCACAATCACATTTCAAAGAAACCTTTTTATAATTTTTAAGAAAAGTTGTAGAGAAGTGTCTTGCAGTTAAAATGGTGCAGTAGATCATGAGATATAAGTATTTTAGTTTTTGCGACTATATATTTTTTTTCTTGCAAAACTATGAAGACAAAAATACTTTTATCTTACAATCTACAAGACCGATTTTAACATTTTAATCACCATTTTGATCGCAAGTCACTTTTCTACAACTTTAATTAAAAGTTAATAAGAGATTCACCTAGTAAACATTTGAGAATCTTAATATTTTTAATAATTTTATTAATAAAATTATAAAAAATAATATTATTCTTGATATTTTACTAATTAATTATATCTTTATGCTTTAAGTAAACTTGTTCTACACATAAAAATATATTATATCCATATATATTTACTTTATAATTTTAAATTTTAAGAAATAAATGCTTAATTTTGAATTTTTAATCAAAAATTCTAAAATTAGGCATCTTTTTTCTTAAAATATAAAATTATAAAGTAAACATATATTAATATGATATATTTTTATACATAGAATAAGTCTTCTTAGTATATAAAGATATAATGAATTAGGGTATGGTGATCTAGTGAAGTGGTGGGGTTGCTGCACCCCCAAGTGGCAGGTCTAGAGTTTGAATCCCACGGACGACGATTTTGAAAA